GTTCAATTTCGAAATTAAACTTAAAATAATACAGTAATTTCTGTGTCGCGATGGAGACATATATATATATATATATATATATATATATATATATATATATATATGACGAAAATATAGTTTTAAGTTATGCCATATTAATGGATAGATTTGGTGTATATCAGAGACAGACTTCATGTAAATTCAAAAGTGGAATGGGTCAACACCGAGAAGCAACAGTCTGTTTCACTTTATGCTCAAGATATATATATATATATATATATATATATATATATATATATATATATATAAATATATATATATATAAATATATATATAATAAATCGGTTCGTTACGGAAGGATCTATTATCAGTTAAAATGTTCACCGGGAAGAAAAGCCATTTCATCCATATCTATCTATCCATCTATCTATCTATATATATCTATATATCTATATATATATATATATATATATATATATATAATACTTTTGTCATACATTGTCCCAATATTGTACTTTATACACACACAGACATACACACACATACATATAGATAGATAGATAGATAGATAGATAGATAGATAGATAGATAGATAGATAGATAGTAGTCATCCACACAGAATGTTTCGCTGTATCTTAGCTCATTAGTGTAGCTAGATATGCTATTGCTTCAAGCATCAGTCGGAGTCTCTCATTCTTAGGCAAACAGACAGTTTCCTTTAATCACAGCTCATCATTGTGGCTAGACACGCGATTGCTTCAATATATATATATATATATATATATATATGGACGCTGATGTCAACACCAACTGTGATAATGTGTTTCATGCTTGAAGGCAAATGGACAAGATTGCGTTCAAGCATGAAACAGACTATCACCACTCGATAAAATGAGAGAAACCGTCGTTAATTGCTGAAATCTACAGAAGAGTGGATTGAACAATTAAAATTAGTTAATCCATGAAAGTTTGCATTCGATATTCTGCGTATTGTTAAATCTTTTGTTCTGCCATTTAGTCCCTTAAATTGTATTTCATTGTCCCTGTCAACGAATAATAATTATAATGCCAATTAGGAATAATAATTGTTTTTCTCTGACGAAGGGTTGGCCGAGTGTTTCCTAAAATATATTTTCCCTCTCCTTTTTTAATTTCAATTTGTTTACGTTTGTTCTATTTAAGGCGATAATTAAATTTCATTATTTATTTATATATATATATATATATATATATATATATATATATATATATATATATATATATATATATGTAATAGCCTCAATATATTGCCAGCGTAATGATGATAAAGGAAACTATTTTTACAAGAACTATTTATTTCTAAATATAATTTCTTTCTAATTGAAACTAGAGTGAACATTTCAGATTAAAATTCAGTTCATTATTGCTTCATATCTATCTATCTATCTATCTATCTATCTATCTATCAATCTATCTATCCCAGTCTGTTCCTATCGATCTATCTATCTATCTATCTATCTATCCCAGTCTGTTCCTATCGATCTATCTATCTATCTATCTATTTCCCAGTCTGTTCCTTTTTATCTATCTATCCCAGTTTGTTCTATCTATCTATCTATCATCTATCTATCTGTTCCTATCTATCTATCTATCTATCTATCTATCTATCTATCTATCTATCTATCTAACTCAGTCTGTTCAAATATGTTATCTATCAACGTCGGTTATCTCTATGTATCTTCTATCACAGTTATTTTTTCCTATCTATCCCACATCTATATATATATATATATACTCAGTCTGTTGTGTGTTAATTTCTATGGATACATTTAGTCGACACACACACACATTTATTTATTTAAGTAAATGCGCTCTTTTGTTTACATTTTTTTTTTTTTGTTGTTTTTTTTTTTTGCTGAATGGTTAACAGCACATCAAATGAAATGATGGTTACAGGTTCGATTCCTGTCGGAGAAGCACATATTTTATACGAAATTTCTCGAAAATTCTGGCCGATAAATGTAAATTATACTGTTTAATTAAAAAAAGACAAACAAAGCATTTACTTAAATAAATTATATCTATAAAATAACATATAAACAGAGAATATGTTAAAATATTATTATAATTGTCAGACTTAATCTATTTCATAATATATATATATATATATATATATATATACATTTCTGCGATCTACATTCAACATCATCACTTGATAAAACAAAGGTTTTGAAACAAAATGGCTATTTTTGTAGTGATTTTATAACATATTTATGTTATAATTTTTAAATAAAGAATATATATATATATATATGTGTGTGTGTGTGTCTGTGAAGAAAGCTATGTTTTTTTTATTAATTGTACAGATTTTTCTTACTTGAACGTTATTTTTAGTGGTTACTCATATTTAAGTAGACGCTCCGTTTATTTATTACACAGTAGATTTATTTTCGTCTAGCGGTCTGAATATATATTAAAATGCCCTTCAGAAACGACTGACCCCATGTCTCCTCATCCCCCAGGTATGGATTAAATAACAGAGTAAATTGAACTCTCTAGATTTTGGCGGCATTCAATCTAAGAGAAAGATAACTTTGAATTCCAAAACAATAAGGAATTTGAATCCACTGTTTTCCCCAAAGAAGCATGACAAATTCAGAGATAAAAAAAAGAAAAGAAATGGCTTTTTGAAAAAAAAAAGTTGCATCAACATAAACAAACTTAGTCTGATGAAGTCCTAACCAATGAAATATGAGAGACAAAAACTTTTTCCACTTTGTCATATATCTTCCTCCCAAAATTGTTCTTGATATATAAAAATTTGTATATCGTTATTTCATAAATAATATACATAACATTATTTTTAGTGGATACTCGTATCTGAGTAGACGCTCTGTTTATTTATTGAACAGTATATTCATTTATTTTCATCTACCGGCCTGAATATTCGAGAAATCTTATTTAAAAAAAAAAAACATGCATTCTCTATCAGGATTTGAACCTGCGTCCCCTAGGCAGAGGGAAGCATTATTAGATACGACGTGCTCTAATTAACCTGTAAAGAATCGATCAGGAAATCGATCATTTTAAACATTGTTTTGAGTGGTTATTTGTATTTGAGTAAACGCTTCGTTTATTTATTAAACAGTATCTTTATTTGCTAAAGGATAAGGTGTACTCAATGAAAATCACAGATGCAACAAACTTGATTAAATATATAAAGGGTGAACGGGCTAAAATTGACGACATAGAATTGAATCTTGCAACGTGCATCAACATGCATCAACCTTTACATCATAGATGATGGAAATAATATTAGATATGTTTTTTTGTTAATTTACTTTCTTCAGAATATGCATTTTTGCCTATGGGTCCAGACTTTGGGGACAATCGCCTGATGAGATGCATTGGTATGCATTGAAACACGACTGCACTTGTATAGCGATTTTTACAAGTTTTCGATGTAATACCCTAAAATAAATAATATTGTTGACTTTTGTATTGAGTTTTTTTTAATTAAATGTTCAAACGAACATTGTTGGAATTGTATTTTTGGTTTATTTTATATATTTATATATATATATATATATAATATTATTTTTATATGTGTGTGTGTGTGTGTGTGTGTGTGTTGTGTGTGTGTGTGTGTGTGTGTGTGTGTCCAAAAAATATAGAAAATAGGAAAGTTTTTCGTTAGGTAAATAATCCAAAGTTAGAAAATTTTTTTTATTATTTTTTTTTTAAAAATAGTAAACGATACAAAATTAGAATTAAATATAATTTTTTTTAGAAATATGATTCCATCGCTACATAAGAGTTCTCATGAAAAAAAACAAGAGCCGAAAACTTCAATAAATTATTTGAATTAAATTGAATTAAATTGACTAAGCTCTGTTCCATCTTCAACGTGAAATTTAACGTTGGAATCATATTTTAAATAACAGATTATATAAATATATATATATATATATATATATATTATATTTAATTTCTATAGAAATGATAGAATATAATAGAATGGTAACCAGGAGAACAATCATCCTGGGAGATGCAGTATGCATTCAAAACGGCAGAGCAAAATTATTTTTAAGTTTAAGAATATATATATATATATAATATATACTTTTATATATATATATTTTAAGAATATTTTTATAAAAAAAAATTACTTTGAAATAAATGTTTTTAAATAAAAATATTATTAAAATATCACTATCATATATTTTTGAAAAAGTAAATGTGTGTGTGTGTGTGTGTGTGTGTGTTGTGTGTAAATGTTCATTGTGTTTATTAAAATATATATATATATATATATATATATATATATATATATATATATATATTTATATATTTATATATTATAAAAATAGTATGCACAAAATTGTGCATAAATATAATTATTTATTTCTGAAATATGATTTCGCTAACATAACAGTTCTCATGTTTCTCTCTCTCTCTCTCTCTTCAATATAATTATTTGAATTATATATATATATATATATATCTTAAGGATAAAATTGATCAAATTGGATTAAAATTTTTAGGTGAATAATTTTTTTATGTTTATATATATATATATATATATATATATATATATATATATATATAATAGAATGAGAAAGAGAGAGAAAGAGAAGAATATGCATAGATTATGCTCTATGTTAAATTAGAGCAAATTATTATTAATTAAAGAATAAAACTGTAAATATTTTATTTTTTCTACGTTGAAAACAAAAAAAAAAATTTTTTACCGTTTTAGAAAAGTAAATGGGAAAAAACGTTTTCTTGATTTTTTTTTTTCTTCATTTGAAACAAGATATATATTTATATATTATATATATATATATATTTAATATAATAAATATTTACGGCTCTACTTTTGTATTGCATCTGTTTTAAATTAATTTTTGAACGCTAAATCATCTCTCTTCGTTCATTTTATATTTGGATATATATATATATATATATATATATATATATATATGATAAGAATAAAATTGATCAAATGTAAAAGGATTAAAATTTTAAGGAAATCAATTTTTTTATGTTTTCGGCTGAAAATGTTCAACACATTCTTGCAGCGATAGATAGATAGATAGATAGATAGATAGATAGATAGATAGATATGAAGTCTGATATCTAATAATGAACTGAAAATGATCTGAAAGTTTCTGTGTAGTGCATGAAGTCCAATGACAAAGAATTAGATTATGTTTAAAAATAAATAGTTCTTGAAAAAAATAATTTCCTTTTATCGTCATTATGCTGAAGATTCATTTACTTATATGAAGAAGCAATTACCTATATACAGGTGCGATGGATAAATTTTCATCTAAATTACACAAAAATGAAAATGACACTGACATCTCATTTTAACAGAGATATCTACTAAAATTACACAAAAATATCTTGAAATATTAAACTATAAATTTATTCAATAAAATCGCCATTGGCTTCAATCACAGCCTCCAGACGACTTCGAAATTTTCTGCAAGTCTTCTGGATGGTCTCCTTGTTTAAATTGGTGAATGTTGCCATAATCCTTGCCTTCCGTTCATCTTTGGTATTACAAGGAATTTTGTTGCTCTTTTGCTCAATTGTGCCCCTCACATAATAACCAAGGAGGTTGCAGTCTGGTGAGTTAGACGGCCAGATATAAGGTGTGTCATGTGGGCGTAGTAATTGTCTGGCAGCCATGACTGGGTTCTCCTGCTTGCCTGGCATGGTGCAGAGTCCTCTTATCAGATATAGGGTCTTCCAGCAGCCACCGTCTTGACCCAGGGTAACACTACCTCCTCAAGGTACTTTATGTAGTCCTCTTTGTTGAGTCTGAGTCCCTGTAGGAAGATGAATTAAGGTATAACGTCGCCAACACTAGTGATCATTCCAAACAAAACACTATCATGTTCACTGGATATATCATTCAACTCTTACCAAATCCTCTACACTGTCTTCTGATTGACACCCAAAAACTCTTAAATGTTCATATTCGATTATAGGTGCAGTTTAATTTATAATTACATGAATCATTCATACAAAAAACAAATATAGAGATTAATGATTTAAATGGCGAGAATACATCTTCGCAAACAATTTCAATAAGATACACTAACCCCGAACCTGTATATGAATGATATGATCCCTGTTCCTACCGACGAAAGCTTGTAAAACCTAAAAAAGATCTTATGAAACTGGAATTTATAAACAGGGATCATATCATTCATATACAGGTTCGGGGTTACTGTATCGTATTGAAATTGTTTGCGAATATGTATTCTCGCCATTTAAAACATTAACCTCTATATTTGTTTTTTGTATGAATGATTCATGTAATTATCATTGAATACGACTGACAAGTGCTGTGATTTAGTTTTTTTATACAATTTCTCATGCGATCTAATTATTTTTTTCTTTTGAAATGAGAAATTATATAAAAAAACTGTCCGAATGTTCTTTTTATCCGAGCGCTTTCGGCTATACATTTAGCCATTTTCAAGGATGAAATATTTTAATTGTTAAATAAGAAATAGTTTGTTCCATGTATGTATTTATATGTTTTAATTTTTTTCAAAACACAGTCAAGATATTATGTCCATGTTCATAGTTAATATTATTAAGTGTTGTTTTTTTTTTTGTTTTGCTTTTATTAATAAAGCTTCCATTATTTTTAACCTTTTTTTTTGTATGTAGATGATGCTATTATAGTTGTGTTGTCAACAAGTATGTTACGAATAGTGTCCGGTATGTGTATATATATATATATATATATATATATATATATATATATATATATATACAATGTCAATCGCCATTTTCTGTCTTCTTAAATCGTGTTCATCTTTTGTCCTTTCTTCAGTCTTCCTCATTATCTGTCTTTTCATTCTCTTTCACTTTCCCTCCCTGTACCCTCCCCCCCACCGAGTTGTAGTGGCATTATCGCCTTGCTTGGGATGAGACGATTAAAAAAGAAAAAAAAAAAAAAAAAACGGTATTTAATGAAGTGTATAAAAATAAATTTTTCATTATTATTTTTGGACAAATTAAAAATTTTATTATTTAACATACAGAAATATTCCCACTATTTTAAAAACAATTTAACGATTAAAATAACAAATACTTATTTAAATAAAATGCAATATTGCTTTTACCATATCTTTTCTTCAAGTTATATATATATATATATATATATATATATATATATATATATATATATATATATAAGAATCCATTTCCCAGTTCGCTTTGCATTTGCAAGAACTATAAACAAATCACTAGGCCAAACGTTTAAAAAATTTGGCTCAAGAAAGAAGTATTTACGCATAGCCAGTTGTATGTTGCATGCTCAAGAATAAGAAATCCTGAGAATTTATTAAAAAGGAAACAGGAATAAAATAAATTTTCTTAAAAATAGTTCACTATGAGTTCCTTTAAAATTATATTAAATTAAAGAAATTATCAAACCGCCAAATAGGGGTTTTGTCAAAATCATTTTTAGAAGCAAATTAGCGATTGGTTTTCGAAATTGAACGAAACGTAGACTTTGTAAATCTTGACAAAAAATATTAGCGATAATTTCAAGTGAGGATTCCAAAACGCGTTAGTGTGTTGCAAAAAAATTCTAGTGAGCAAAAAAAAACGAGAAGATTTGTCACTCATTGTCGGTATTTTGAACACTCACTTTTTCGATAAAGGGTTTCAGTTAATTCCGATTGGTATTTGAAGATTGTATGAAATCTTCTGATACCAAAACTCACAAACCTTACAATTGGTTGGGTTTGTCGGATTTCTTGTTGGTTGGTTGATTTTATTTAGCGGCATATCAACACCTCTATGGGTTATTTAATACCGAAACCTCAATATTTTGATTGGTTTGGTTATTTTTATTTAGCGGCATATCAACTCCTTTATAGGTTATTTAATGCCGAAATCTAAGTATTTTGATTCGTTTGGTTTAGTTTGGTTGTTTTTGTTTAGCGGCATATCAACCTCTATGGGTTATTTAATACCGATATCTAAATATTTTGTTTGGTATGCTTTGGTTGATTTTGTTTAGCGGCATATCAACCTCTATGGGTTATTTAATACCGAAATCTAAATATTTTGTTTGGTATGCTTTGGTTGATTTTGTTTAGCGGTATATCAACCTCTATGGGTTATTTAATGCCAAATTCTAAATATTTTGATTGGTTTGCTTTGGTTGATTTTGTTTAGCGGCATATCAACACCTCTAGGGCTTATTTAATGCCGAAATCTAAATATTTTGATTGATTTGCCCCTCAAAGGAAATGTTGGTGTTTTGAATCCTTATTTTTTCGATAAACGGTTTCAGCTAATTCCGATTTTGTCCTTCTTGCAACAAATGTTGGACGATTTTCTCGAAGATGAAGAAGAGACCCAAGATGACAAGAATGTGATTCTACAGAAGGATGCTAAGGATATCATGGACCGAGCGTGTGAGCAACGATGAGGCTTTAGAGAGGATGCAAACAAGGAGGAAGTTTGGTCAGAGTATTGCGAGACAGGAGGATTTCTTTGGTAACAAAGAAAAGAATACTTAGCTGTTATGTGATGTCCGTCCTTCTTTGTGGCAGCGAATTTTGGACGATTTCCTCAAAGATGAAGGAGTTACTAGAGGTAACAGAGATGTGGTTCTACAGAAGGATTCTAAGGATATCATGGACTGATCATGTGAGCAACGATGAGGTCTTAGAGAGGATTCAAACAAGGAAGAGGCTTATACTTAACATCAAGAAGAGGCAGCTGAAGTTTTTGGGACACATAATGAGGAAGGAGGGCCTGGAGAATCTGATACTCATAGGTCACATAGAGGGAAAGAGAGACAAGGGAAAAGAACGTATGACATACCTGGCGGGCTTAAGCAAGCGGATGACAAAACGTGGTCTGGGGGAGGAAGCAAAAGGAAGGAACTTGTTGAGAGCTGCAAGTGATAGAAGGAGGTGGAGAGCCATGATCGCCTACGTCCTGAAAGGACATGGCAAAAAAAAAAAAAAATTGAAGATGGTACGAAATCTTCTGATGCCAAAACTCACAAACATTACGATTGATTGGGTTTGTCGGATTTCTTGTTAGTTGGTTGGTTGAATTTATTTAGAGGCATATCAATATCTATATGGGTTATTTAATGCCGGTGATATGCAAGTTTTATGTTGCTGTTTTGTTGAAATAATATTTTGCAATAGAGTTTGATTTAAGAAATTGTAGTATATTATATGGATTAATACCATGAAAGAGTTTTTTCATGTTGATTGTTTGATATTGTTTAGCGGCATATCAATATTTATATGGGTTAATTAATGCCGAAATCTAAATATTTTGAATACAATTTTATGGCTTCAACTAAATAGATCGTAAACGCAATTATATTTCTTCAACTACAGATAAAATTTATTGTTGGTCATTTTGATATAAAATATATTATCGGTCACTTTACTATGAACATATATTTTTATACTTTTATAGTCTTTTGTTTCGGATTCACTATTTACCCATAGCAGGGACCCTAACTGATACCAACTCTAGACTTGAAGAGGTCAAGATTGGGTTGGTTGATTTTCTTTAGCGCCATATCAACCTCTATGGGTTATATAAGGCCGAAATCTAAATATTTTAAACGCAATTTTATGGCTTCAAATTGAATATATTTGCAACGGAATTGGATTCCTACAACTACAGATAAAATGTATTGCTTGTTATTTTGCTTTAAAAATGTATTATTGGTCATTTTACTATAAATATGTATTGTTAGTCTTTTTTATATAAAATGTATTACTGGTATTTTTTATTTTAAAAATGTACCTTTATACTTTCATAGTGTTTTTGCTTGGTGGTTCACTATTTACCCATAGCTGGGACCCTAACTGGCATCAAACTCTAGACATTAAGATTGGGTTGGTTGATTTTGTTTAGCGCCATATCAACCACTATGGGTTATATAAGGCCGAAATCTAAATATTTGGAACACAATTTTATTGCTTCAACCAAATATATCTTGAACGCAATTGTATTTCTTCAACTACAGATATTGATCATTTTGATATAAAATATGTTGTTAGTAATCCTACTATAAAATGTATTGCCGATCATTTTGCTTTAAAATGTATTTTTGGTCATTTTACTAT